CACACACACACACACACACACACACACTGGTAATATCACTGGGCCTAAAGAGCAGAAGTGTCCTCATCACTGCTTCCCACTATTTCTTCCTCCTCACTAAAAGAGCTCGTTTCATGTCATCAGATCAAACGAACAAGTACTCCAATTTGTCTTCTCTAGACCCTCCAGGTTTCTCTCTTGTTCCTTGAAGGCTTTAGTTCCTAGCTCACTGTCACTGTCTCCATCACGATTCTTGCACAAATCTTGATGACCCCCTCCAATACCTGGCCTCTCAACTCCTGGGCTTTCTTTCCTCCAAGGATCTTGTTTCTACTATACCTCAGCTACCCATTCTCACGGTCACATCCATACCAGTATTTCAACCTTTTTCATGTCATGGCATACATAAAAAATAACATTTACAGGGCACACTGGAGCAAACAGAGGCTGCCTGTGATCAAATGCAACCAGCCCAAAAGAGAAAGCTCTACCCAACCCTGGCCCTGCCAGAAACTTCAAGCGCTGAGAGGACCAATATCTTATCATACTTGTATTCATCTCTGAGACAATAGGCACTTGAGACCTCATTATTACCAATGAATAACTGCATTTCCTTCAAAAGACCAACCTCAAGCAATCCACTGATTACCATCTTTCCAACAGCCCTTTGGCCCCACCAGGACCTACACTCTACTGATCTACATTCTTCTTTTTACTGTCTCTTACCTCCCTTGTGCTCTCAAGTTTCTTCTTATCCAATTTGGATTCCATGATTCATTATCAAATCACTACTTCATCTTTTTAGCCCTTCTTTCTCACCGTGCTGCACCCTGGCAAAATTCTAACTCTGATTAAACGCCACTCTCTGCTAACCTCCCACCTACAATGCATAACTGAAAGAGGTTGGAAAAATACACAAAAGCATGCTACATCATCTCTTTCAATTTATGACTATAAACCTCAGTTGGACCCTACATTTCTCATTTCATTACTCTCTCCTTTGCCTGAGTTACTGTTTCATACATTATCCTCTCCTCAAACCTGAAACAGCTCCTTTCCCATCTGCATTCGAAGCTCCCATCCTGGATCTGAGCCCACATACTTCACCTTCCCTTCTAGACAGGCTGAGTGGGCCGCTACCAAAGGCCCACCCCTCCACCTAGCTCTAGATTCTATTCCTTCTCACCAAATCGAGGACCTTCTTTCAGCAGCTTACCCTCATGCATCTATTTTTCTCTCTATACTGGGCTGTTGCCATCATGAAGTTACACACATGCTGTAATTCCTCCCAACCACAGCCTCACCTAGCTACTTGCCTCATTTCTCTATTGCAGTTTAAAGCAAAATTCTTCACAAGATTCATCTATATCCCTGTTTCCAATTCTTCTCCTTTCATCCCTCCTCACTTTTTTTCCAAAATTATGAAAAACTGCAAATATACACACAAGTAGAATATAATGAACCCCCATATTCTTATCACCCAGATTCAACAATTATGAATTCTGCTGCACTTGCTTTTTTTCCTGAAGTATTTGAAAGCAAATTCTACTCACAAAACTTCATCCATAAATATTTCATCATCACCTCTAAAAATAGACATTTTCCTTCATAAGCACAATACCATTCTCATACCTAAGAAAATTAGTAGTAATTCATGTTATCACCTATTACAGGGACCAAATTTAGACTTCCTGTTTCTAATAGGACTTTTATTGTTTAACCATTGGTTTGTTCAACTCAGGAACCAAGCAAGATCCACATATTGTATTTAGATGCCTTTTAAATCTCATCTAAAACAGATCTTCCTTCCCATCCTTCTTTTCGTGTCATTACTTGACAAAAGCTAATCAGTTGTACTACAGAATGTCCTGCACGCTACAATAATCTGTTTGCTCGCTCCTGTTTTTTGTTCATTCCTCTAGCCCTCATGTTTTCTATAAACTGGAAGTTATATCTGAGGGTTTGACTAGACTCAAGTTCAATTTTGGGGGCAAGAATATGTCCTAGATGGTGCTGCCATTCTTCCTTGAACCCATGCCAATCTGGCTTTCATTCCCTGAACTTCACTCCACCAAAAGTACTGATCAAGATCACCAGTGACCTCCACAGTGAAGTTCAAATTCTCACTTCTAATATTACTTGACCTAACAAGGAGCACTGACAATTAATCAGGCTTGTTTCACTTGGTTTCTAAGATACCACTCTCCTGTGGTTGAACTCTTACTTTACTCGCACTGCTCCTCAGCTCTTCGAACCCTCTTGTTCCTTCTTCCGTAGCCATGCTCACCTACTTGCTTTCTCTGGAACATACCAGGCCCACTCCATCTCTAGACATTTGCAAATGGCAAATAAAGAAAGGCTATTTTAATAGCATATTGACAGGGATAGACTTTCATTTGAGAGATTTTGGTCAAGGGAAGGAGTATTTGAAGAGAGCAAGAATACAGGCAAGGAGCCAACTTGAGAAGCAATGACATTACCTCTTCTCAGACAAAAAATGTCGAGCTCTTCCATTACAGATCATTCTGCATCATTCCATGGGCCAATTTTCATTTCTTCCCAACTCCTAAGAGATGTTATTCTTTACTCTCTCCCCCTTGACAACCAACCATTTCCTTTGACCTTCAAATATGCACTGATCACCTCATCTCAAAAGCAAAAAGAACACTACAACACTTTTGTCCAATTCTTTTATCACACTCTCATTTAGAATCACAACAATAAGTCTGAAAGAAATATTTTAGCCCAAACCCCTCTTTCACAGAGTCAATGGAGCTCAATTATGTTGAATGCCTTATACATGCCATATATTACACTAGACCTGGAAAAATGATAAAATTGAAGCAGTGAATATTTAAACAACTTCACATCTCATTTCTTTCTCTGTACAATGTCTAAAGGTAACAATCTCTTTCTGCCATTTCTTCATTTATCCTTGCTTTATTTCACTGCAATCTAGCTCCTGGTGCCTGCTATATAAACACAACTAAATAGGAGTCCAGTGACTCATTCCGCTTAAATGCAAGTTGTTTCCCAGTTCTTTCTTCTCTGGCATCCCTTGCCTTCTAAGACACTCTATTTTTTTTGTCCTCTTTTTTAATTATTCTTATTTTCAGGTGTACAAAGAAACATAATAGACATTTACACCCCTCACAAATTGATTACCACCCCCAATCTACTACCCCTCTGATATTGTATATAGCTGTTACAATAAGACACTATTTTTATCTTTGCTGAGAACATTTCTTCTTTAGTTTTTTCCTTCCTAATGACCCAAACCCTTTCAGGCAAACTGCAAAGAAGAATTCTTTGCCCTTCTAAGAAATGTTTCCATTCGCAAAGTATCCTTATTTCATAGATTCTTCAAGCAGTTCTATTTTTATGTCCCTTATCAATTTATCTTGTCAACATTTATCTTACCCAAGTTCCCAAAGTAAGAATTTTAGAACTCCTATATAAGGCAATATAGAAAATAAAGTGTTATAATATTCCATAGATGAATGACTTTAGCCTAGCTAAAATAGCGTTAGCCTAGCCTTTACCTTAAATAGACAGCAGAAAACATCAAGTTAATTCAAAATGGTATTATAAAATTCCATTCTTCTGGTCAGGGTTTTTTTAAACTCTGTTAGTAAACCAATTTTTATCCACTCTTCAAAGCTCTTAAAATTACAATAAACCTTTACTTACTTGGCTTGACACTGGCCTTTTCTGGAACAAGCTCTTGAGATGTCTCGTGTAAGTCAAAAAGAAGTGTACCTCCTAAGGTTGGAATGTTGACATCCTTCAAACCAAAGTGTCTATTTTGTTCATATTCCTTATGTCTGTTTTCCTTCCGAGACAGTGATTTCCTATGAGCAATTTTAGTTCTAATCATGTCAGTACTTAAATCCTTTCTGTGTCGACTGGCAAAATGTGATGAAAACATCCTGTCAGGGAACAGACACAGACCAACTTACATGGATTTTCATTTTATTATTTAAAAAATTAAGAATCCAGTTCACCTCCTGTTCCAACCTCAGAGCCTTCCGAAATAAAAACATTGAAATACAAAATGGAATATATGACACTGAAGTGCAGGAAGGAGGTTATCAAAAGACAAGACATTATAACCTATTTTCAGGTTCTAAATAGGAGCTTGCTTGACAGATGAAATGAAGCCCAGGAAACTACAGTCCATAATATAAACAAAAGGCTCTAGGCTTACTGTAGAGAACATTACAAAATACTGAGAATTAAAGGTGAAAATAGGGAAAATAAGTGAAAGACAGTATACAGAATAGTTTCTTAACCTTCCCCTGGGGATGAATGCCGGCAGCCTGACACTTTTTTTCTCAAGCCAAAAAACAAAACAAAAACCACACAAGATGCCTATTAGACAAGTAGGGATGATAAATTTCCTGATAAATACACAGCAGAGAGACAGAGAGACACAGAGAGAGGGAAACAAAGAAAGAGAACACTAATGCTAATATGTAATTATCACCTAAATCCTAAAAGGTAGTTAAGTATTATCGCCGTTATAAGGCAAATTAACTGCCCACGTTGGCACAACTAAAAGGTAGTGCAGATGGGATGCCAGGCATGGCTCTTCACCTACATCTAAGTTCTCTTCTTTGGCTGACCGGAGGGAGTTCCCTCCAGCTGGAAAGTCTAGAATGCCTTAGTCTTTCTTGCCTAGAGGGTCTCCACCCGGGCGTTTTCAGTTGTCACAGGATCTGGGAGGAGCTACTGACATTTAAAATCAGCGCCAAGGATGCTAAGTATTTACGCCCCGGTGGTCAAACGCTGAGTGCTACATAGATCAAGGCAACAAATATTTAATCTTCGGGAGGACTGTGTCATCAGCTTCTGGAAGGACGGGTAACAGTGTCCTAGAGGCGTCCAGTTCGCAGCTGCGGGTCCTTAAGGTCCTTCTAGACTTTCCAGAAGGAAGCGGAGCAGCGCCCTCCCTCTTAGCTCCCCAGCACCCACCTACCTGAGGCAGCTTCTAGCGTGAAATCTCAACCAAACTAAAACTATTCGGTCCGTCTGGAAGGCGACCGCTGTCGCCGAAGCAGGACCGCCTATAAGCCGAGCCCACGCAAAATTCAAACTTCCCACACCGAGCCTCTGATTGGAGGGATTTTTAACAAACACTTCCGGTGATGTGCCCGCCTCTTCCCTTTGACGTGGCCGATGATTGGTTTGCTTCTTCAGGTGTTTGAATTGATTGAAAGACGAACGGACGGTTCAGGCGAGTGTGAACGGAATCAATGGGCGGGTCGCATATTGATGAGGGGCGGAGCAGTAGGGACTCTGGGAGCCTGGAAGGGGCGGGAGCTACCGGCCTGCGACGCCGCGTTGGCGCTGAATCCGACTGGGAACGCCCAGGGTCCCCCGGGTATCCGAAGGAGGTTGGAGGAGCTCTGACGAAGGAGACGGAACTCAATTTCAGGGCTTTTTAATATCCTTATTTAGCTTCATAAATCCGGCAGAACTTATTGCAATGTTTTCATTTAATGTTTTTAAAAAAGGGCTTCTCACACCAAATTTCTCCTTACGTTGTTTATTGTTTTTCAGCGCCGCCAGTCTTTTCTTTTTTCTCGTCTATTTTTTTATTGAAGTAAAATGTAAATACAGCGAAAAGCACAGTTTCTAAATGTGCGATTTGAAACCCAGCTCCGTAGCTCAGGGGTTAGAGCACTGTGTTAATAGATGAGTTTTGCTAAATGTAAACAGCTGTGTAACTACCACCCAATAAGAATATAGAGTATTTCTGTCACCCAAAGAGTTCCCTTAAGCCCTTTTCCAATCTCCCACCCTTTGGGCAAACATTCCTCTGATTTCTATCACCTTAAAAATAAAGGTGGCAGGGGCCAGCCGAGTGGCGCGTTGGTTAAGAGTTGGCTTGGGACGCCAGCTCTGAGCTTTAGGGCCGCAGTTCGGATCCCACATGAGGGCCAGTGACGCTGCGCCCTCTACAGCTAAGATGGTGAACAACAGCTCGACCTGGAGCTGGGCTGCTGTGAGTCACCGGTGATGGCATAAGCTGCAGTGGGGCTGCAGTGGAATCCCATAATAAGCTACTGTGAGCAGCGGGCAGCCAGTGTGAGCTGTCAAGAGCTGCCATGTGGGGGTCCAGTGGCTGGCAACTGATCTGCCTCAGCCAGGAAGAGCGTAATGATCACAATACCAACATGGGCCGGTGAAGCAACGTCCTCCACAACTAGATTGAAGAACAAAAGGACAGTAACTTGTCTGTTCCCCTTCTCGATTCCCCAATAAAATCTTTAAATAAATAATAATAAAATAAAGGTGGTAGGTATTCTTTAGTGTCTGCCTTCTTTCTGTCAGCGTATTGTTCAAGGCCCATTCCCACTGTTGCGTGAATTAGCAGTTACTGGTTTTTCTTAATAGTCCATTGAATACCATATTTATCCATTCACCTGTTGATGGACAATTAATTGTATTGGTCCAGTTTTCAGCTGTTATGAATCAAGTTGCTATGAACATTCCTGTACAAGTACTTTTGTGGTCATGTTTTATTCCTCTTGGGAAATATAGTTATGGAATTTCTGGGTCATTCTGGGTATGCTTAACTTTATAAGAAATTGCCAAGCACCTTTCTAAAGAAGATGTACCATTTTACACGCCCACTAGCAATGTGTGAGAGTTCCAGTGTTCCACATGCTTGCCAAGATTTGGAGTTATCACTCTTTAACCTCTCTAGTAGGTATGAAATGGTATCTGGTTTTAATATTGTAGTTCCCTAATGACAATGATGGTGAGCATCTTTTCATGTGCTCATCAACTATTTTTATACCTTGTTTTGTGAAATGTTCAAGTCTTTTGCCTATGTTTTTTTTAAATTGGGAGTAGTCTTTAAATTTGGTTATCTTTTTAGTATTCATTGGTAGGAGTTCTATCTATTCTGGGCACAAGTCCTTTGCTAGGTATATATATTTTGAATGTATTCTCCCAGTCTGTGGGTTGTCTTTTTTTAATAATCTTTTAATTTTAGTTTTAGATTCACAGAAAAATTGCAAAGATAGTATTCCATATGTTCCACATCCATTTTCCCCCTTTATATTCATATGGTACATTTGTTACAATTAATGAAATGATACTGATACATTATTATTAACTGAAGTCCATACTTTATTTAAATTTCCTTAGTTTTTACCTACTGATATTTTTCTGTTCCAGGATATCACATTACATTTAGTCATTACATTGCCTTAGGCTCCTTATTCTGTGACAGTTTCTCAGATGTTTCCATTCACCTGTTTTTGGTAACCTTGACAGTTTTATGGAGTACTAGTCAAATATTTTGTAGAATGCCCCTCAATTGGAATTTGTTTGATATTTATCCATGATTAGACTGGGGGTCATAGGTTTTGGGGCGGAAGACCATAGAATTGAAGTGCCATTCTTATCATATCACATCAAGAATACATAATATCAATATATTTATCATTGTTAATTGCTAACCTTGATCAGCTGTTTGTCAGGTTTCTCCACTGTGACATTACTATTTTCCCCCTTTCTATACTGTACTCTTTGGGATAAAGTAATTATATAGGCAGCCCACACTTAAAGAGTGGGAAGTTATGTTCCATCTAATTAAAGACAAACTCTGAACATAAACTATTTAGAATTATTCTGCGTGGGAGATTTGTCTCTTCCCATTTGTCCTATTATTATTCGATCATTTATATCAGGACTGTTGGGTTGTGCTCTAATACTATTTCATTTTGTTGCCATTGGTGGCTCTTCTGGTTTGTTCCTCTATCACTTTTACATATTCCCATCATTGTGGGGGTTTTGTTTGTTTGTTTTTGTTTATTTGTTTTAGTATGTACTTCCTTACTTTCTGGCTCTACAAGGTACTCCAGGCTCATCTTGGATTTTCCCTGTTCCACTACTAAAATCAGCCATTTCTCCAAGAAGCCCTGGTTCCTTTTTTTGGAGAATGGTATGAGAAGCCAAGATCTGAACACTAGGTGTCCTCCTTGCTACTGAGGAGTCTCTCAGTTAATAGAGTGAAGATATATACCTGTCTATACTAATGTATGCATCTATAAATGTTTCTATAGTCATCCTCTGTATCTATACTAAGCTAATTGTGAGTTTATATGCTGATGTCTCCAACTCTAATCCATTACCACACGGATCATTCTGGCCTCCTCCCCTTATTTGTGACCTCCCACTCCAATGGTGGAAAACCAGACTCTGTTAGTTGCCTTTTCATTTCCTTCAGAGTGTCATTGGTGAACAGAGGATTTTACGTTTGATGAAGTCTAATCTATCATTTTAAAAAATTTCATCTTTATTTCCTAAGAAATATTAGGCTACCATAAGGTCATGAAGTTACTCTCCTGTTTTCTTCTAGAACCTTAGTAGTTTTAGCTCTTATGTTTGGGTCTGTGATCCATCTCACATTAATTTGTGTGTGGTATCTCCAATTGTATTTTTTGTTTGTTTGTATTTGCTTTTTTTTTTAAATTGGTGAAAATAGAAAAGATAGTACACTCCAAAAAAAAGCTGCTTTTTTTACATAGTATTCAGCACCACATGTAAATGAAACCTGTATAAATGGCTGTCCATGGGTTAAGTTTTCTCTGCAAACCCTCTGATGATTTTCTGAGTCAACTAAAACTGAAGTACAAAGGTGCATTAAGAAATATAAAACAAAGCATAACATATGGGAAGGACATAGCTTTGTTCAATCCATTTAGCAACAGGGATGAGATTGGCAGGCTTGGTGAGAACAATTCAGTGGAATGATGGTGGCAGAAACCATACTGCAATAAATTACAGCTTCGTTGGGAATGACTGAAACAGAGAGTGTAAGTGAGGAATCAGAATGTTTAGTCATGAGAAGGACTTTGAAGATTAATGACTTGTACAAGATCCCACAGCTAATTAAGTAGCAGAGCCAGGACTCAAACCTAGGTATTTTTATCTTCCTGGCTGGAAACACAGCTTGTTTCAACATTTATTTGAGAATGGAAAAGAGTAGTATAGACTTTGGAGTCAAATAGGTGTGGTTTAAAATTGCCACTTTATATTGGGCAAGTTTTCTGTGCGTCTCTGAATCTCCATCTCTTAGGAATGTTGGGAGGATTAAATGAAATAATTAGTTCCAGTTCTGCTTCCTACAAAGATGCTGACAAAGTAAAATTACTGGCTCCCTCCCACAAGATCAACTTCAGAGGAGCTACAGAGGGAAAAGACACGAAGTTATTGTTCACATCCAGGAGTGTAAGCAGCTTTTTGTTGGTTTTCCCCTATAATTGTTAACTGATTGACCTCTGGACTCTTCCTTCCAACCCTCCAGCCTATTGTAATTCAATTTAGGGCATTTCAGATTTTTTTTGTTGTCACTTTTTATACTGTGGCTATTAAAATATTTAATTAGCATGTGTGGCTCTCATTAAATTTCCATTGGAAAATGCTATCATAGTTTATGAGAAACTTGGCTGTTTGAAATATCAGTGAGAAGGGACCGTCTTACTTCTACTTGAAAGATATGAGCACAGAGAAGCAGCCTTAATTTCCAACCGATAGCTTCAAGATCAGAGGCATGGGGGGTCAAAAAATAACCTTCCTCCCATCTTTCTAAATTCTTCTGACTGGGTTAATAATCCAATTAACACGAGACAGATTTACAGGAGAAAATGTTCAAAATTTATTACGGATACACATGTGGGAATGCCGTAACAATATGAGACCCAAGGAGGCATGGGGTCATTGAGGTTTATAAGATTCTGGACTAAGGAGAAGGGAGGCAGGGGTCTGGGATTTCAAAGGGAAAGTAGGCATTTACAGGTATAAAAGAAAGCAAACGTGATAAATTCTTGCTGGGCCACCCAGAAATAATGGGACACAGAGGGAAGTCTATGCCTAGATTTCTCCGTTTACCACATTTAGTTAATGTTATAATGCTAACGTGATGCTCCCTTCCTTTTAATCTGAATTCCTTTAGATAGATAAGAGGGAGGGTCAAAGATTCTTTCCAAGTCTTTTGTTTTTTTTTTAATAATCAGCTTAATATCAATATCCCAAATGGCCCTTTTTAGGGTAATAGAATGTTGGTCCCCCTCAGAGTTTTAAATGGCAGTTTTCAAGGAAAAAGTTCATCAGACTAGAATACTCCTACCAGAACTTTAAAAAGTTTCCAACGGGAGTGAGCCAAGGCCAT